TTCTTGCAATTTCGCACTCGCTAGGCCCTTATTCTTGCAATTTTGCACACGCTAGGCCCTTGTTCTTGCAATTTTGCACACGCTAGGCCCTTGTTCTTGCAATTTTGCACTCGCTAGGCCCTTTTTCTTGCTATTTTGCACATGCTAGGCTCTTTTTCTTGCTATTTTGCACACTCTAGGCCCTTGTTCTTGCAATTTTGCACACGCTAGGCCCTTGTTCTTGCTATTTTGCACACGCTAGGCCTTTGTTCTTGCAATTTTGCACATGGTAGGCCCTTGTTCTTGAAATTTTGCACACGCTAGGCCCTTGTTCTTGCTATTTTGCACACGCTAGGACCTTGTTCTTGCAATTTCGCACTCGCTAGGCCCTTGTTCTTGCAATTTTGCACACGCTTGGCCCTTGTTCTTGCAATTTTGCATAAGCTAGGCCCTTGTTCTTGCAATTTTGCACTCGTTAGGCCCTTGGTCTTGCAATTTTGCATTCGCTAGGCCCTTGTTCTTGCAATTTTGCACTTGCTAGGCCCTTGTTCTTGAAATTTTGCACACGCTAGGCCCTTGTTCTTGCTATTTTGTACAAGCTAGGCCCTTGTTCTTGAAATTTTGCACATGCTAGGCCCTTATTCTTGCAATTTTGCACACGCTACGCCCTTGTTCTTGCAATTTTGAACATGCTAGGTCCTTGTTCTTGCAATTTTGCACATGCTATGCCCTTGTTATTGCAATTTTGCACACGCTAGGCCCTTGTTCTTGCAATTTTGCACACGCTAGGCCCTTGTTCTTGCAATTTTGCACTCGCTAGGCCCTTGTTCTTGCAATTTTTCACATGCTATGCCCTTATTATTGCACTTTTGCACACGCTAGGCCCTTGTTCTTGCAATTTTGCACTCGCTAGTCCCTTGTTCTTGCAATTTTTTCTGCTCATGCTCACTCGCCTTGATGCTCCGTGCCCTGCATTCACTCTTTTCTCACTGCCCTTTACATCCCCGTCCTCTCTTCCCTTGCTTCCGCTCTCTGCTCCAATCCCCCTCTCGTCCCAGCAGGTCGCTCACACGAGAGTGTCAGTGGCGGGGGACATGGAGTGCACAGGCAGCAGCTGCTCTCCACCCAACCCACCCAAAGCTAAGAATTCGCCCTTCCTTTCACCTCCCAGTCCCTCTCGTGTTCTTTTCATTTCCACGTTTATTTTTACTGCATCTCCTGTTGTTTTGTCTCTTCAAATGCAAGCCTCTTGTTTAGCCAAAGTTTCAAGCCACAGACCCCTTTTCTTGGGTAAATCCCCCCAGGTAACAGCAGGTATTCCCTCAGGTTAAGCCTCCCTAGGTATTATTTCCCCTTGGATCTGTGGCTTGTAGCTGAGGCTGCACCAGTGGCCCCCTTCTCTGCTCCCGCATGCCATCTCATGCACTCCTCTCACATTTCTACCCCCAGCCGCTTACTCACTTCTCTTCAGTTCTCTTCTTGCCGATTGAGTCGAGGGGCGTGGGGGTGAACACCGCCACTCCCTCACGCTCCTCCCCTGTGGCTGTGCAGATGGCAGTGGCGGGAGGAAAGGGGGGCAGCACTCCACTCAGTTGGGATGGGATGGGAGAGTATCGGGACTGGGTCGTCTGGAACAATGTGATTCTCTTCTCTCTCATGCTCTCTTGCTGCTGCTTGGTCTTCTCCGCATGCTCACGTCCGTTTTTTGCTCCTTCCCTGCCTTCACGCTTTTGCTGCTCTTCTCCCCATTCTCACTGCTGTCCCTTGCTCCTCTGCCTCCCTCCCTCTCCCCTCCCTCCCAGGACACTGAAGGCTGTAGCAGGGAAGCAGGGGGCAGCAGAAGGGCAGAAGCGGAGGGGAGGGGTAGCGGCAGCAGCAGGGGAAGCAGAGTAGCAGACCGGCAGCAGCAGTAGCAGCAGCGGAAGCGGCAGCAGCAGTAGCAGCAGTGGGGGACAGGGGGATAGGCTAGGCTAGATGAAGCGGGGTGAGGTATGGTACAAGGTAAGGTATGGTACCAGGTGTGGTATGGTGAGCTGATCCCCTCCCCTCTCTCACCCCCCCTCTTCTCCCTACAGGCTGAAGGTGGGAGCACTGGAGCAAGGACGGGATAATGGAGTCCGGCCTCTCTCTCACCTCCCCCTCTCTCCCTTTTTCCTTCCCTCCCAGCAGCACCCTGCCTGGACTACAGAAGGAGTCTCCCTCCCCTAATCCCCCCTTCTCTCTCCACTTCCCAGCATCCTCAGCATCATGGCGCTTTGCACGGCTGCGGTAGGTACAGGTGAGTACGCATGGGGGTGAGGTGTGGGGAGGGTGGGTGGGGGCATGGGAGCAAGCGGGGAGTTCACTGCCTTAGGGGCAGCACCCTCTTGTGAGTCGGGGTGTGGTGGGTGGAATCTATGCAGCACGGCACTCAGTACCAATCTGACGTTAAGGCTTAATGGGCACTGTTACAGCCCAGATTGTCCTCCAGAAAGCGATTGATCGTTGCAATCCGTGACACGTTGCCTCCCATGTTCTCTCAATAGCTGCGACCTGCAAGTTTCCGCTTCTTCGAGGTAGGTGTCAAGTGCTCCACGCCTGCAGGACTCTGGCTCGTCCTCTTCTTGAATCGTCGACTGCTCGGAGTCACCACTTCTGCTTGTCCAGCACCACCACCCTGAGCAACGTTAGCTGCGTCCACGTGGGAGGGTGCAGGAGCGTCAAGAGCTTCAACGGCTGGAGTAGACGACGGAAGGATGGGAGCAGGGGAGCAGCGATAGAGCTCAAAGGAACCGTGCGATTTACAGGGACTACGTTAGGCTTATCAGCTGGAGCAGGAGTCAGCCGAGAGACTGCTTCTTGTCGGCGCGTGGTAAATTGACCTTCTGATAGCCAGAGTTCGGTTCAATATCTTCATCACCATCTGTCTCCTTGGAAGAGGATCTAGAGGCCTTTGCAGCAGAAGAAGCCAGAGAGGCAAACTGTGCGCCGTTACTTTCAGGAACCTCGTCAGGTAACGTCTCGCGCGAAGGTCGAGTCACGTTCTTGCAAGGCAACTTGACCTTCTGATAAACAGAGTTCGGGTCAATATCTTAATCACCATCTGTCTCTTTGGAAGAGGACATAGAGGCCTTTGGAGCAGCCAGAGAGGCAAACTGTACACTGTTATTTTCAGGAATCTCGCCAGGCAACGTCTCGCGCGAAGGTCGACTCACGTTCTTGCGTGGCAACTTCACCTTCGGATAACAGTGGTCAGATCCTTCATCACCATCTGCATCAATGGGAATCTTAGAGGCTTTAGCTGTTGAAGTGGCCGATGCAGGAACCAAGGAATCCATAGGAATTTTAGGCTCAGCATAAGACACTTGATTTTCAGGAACTGCGTATGGATCGCCGAGAGGAACTAATGGCATCCCAGGCGGTGGATTGCTTATATGAGGCACCTTAAGCTTCCAATGCGCCGAGACTCCTATATTTTAACATGAAATAGCTGCTGCATTCACTTTCTTGGGCATGGCCGATTACTAGTGAGAGATGGATGTGAAAACTGGATAACGCAGCATGAGAAGTTGAAAATGTTGAACACTCTAATGTCAAGGAGAAAGCAACCTAAAAGCTCTGGGAGGAAAGCTGCAACAAAAAAGAACGTTTTCATCGACTTGCTGGCTCAGAGTGCCGTCTTGCGTTTAAGCACACAATAGCATTCCGAATTCGAACGTTTGCAGAGATGGATCCCGCTTAGGAAGTGTCAAGGATGGGTTTCCCAGCATAATTTCGCACTTGAGACGATCAACATGAGGTTGTAGAGCAACAATAAGGTCAGAAAGTAACAGCAGCGGTGATTGCTGTAATGGACAACCAGGCATTGCGCAATTGGTGTCAAGCGTCAATCATCACCCAGAAACGACCACCCTTACATTCACCCCTCCTCCGTCAGTTTCTGAGCCTGTTTCGTTGCATCTTCAGCACCTCCTGATGCTGCAGTGAGGGATGTGAAGTGGTCTGGGGGAGTTCGAAGCGGTGCAGGCCGAGTGGAGTTGCAATGGTGGGAGAACGTCATGGCAAGAGCGTCGGCGTTGCTGATCTCGAAGACCCTTCTGCAGCCGTTCGACACCACGCGCACCATCCTGCAAGACCATCCCACTGCCGTCCGTTGGTCCCGTCGCCCCATCTCCCCCTTGCCTTGCTCCCTGCCATCAAACCTTGTCATGACAGGCATGGGTGGTCGGTGATGACGGGGTCAGATCTGGCGCGGGCGCAGGACTCGACCAGTGAAAAGAACGCCTCTCTCCCACCCCCTCTTCTTCCACCTCCTCTCGTCCCACCCCCTCTTCTCCCACCCCATCTTCTCCCACCCCCTCTTCTCCCACCCCTTATCTCACCCTCCCTTTCCTACTCCCTTTTCCTCTCGATTTCCTTTCCTCCATCCCCTATCCCCACCCTCCAGCAAACCACAAAGATGTAAACGACCTCCCTACATGGCGATGTGACCTGGCTTCCACCCCTGAGAGAGTGCGCGATGCTGACATCAGGGGGACCACAACACTCCGCACAGTGGCCCCTCACGAGCAGCATCTACACCAGCACCCCCACACCTGCAAGCCTCCACCTCTTCACCACCTTACACCATACCCTCCAGCAGTCACACCCTCACACCCCCACCCACACCTGCACCAACAGCCATGCCCGCCACGCTGCCTACTAACACCCAGCACACTCCCATTGCATACAACCCCGCCACCACAGGACCAGCAGCACTGGCGCCACCCACAGGTACTACTGCTCCCCCACAACTAGCCACAGCCCCCACCCCTCACACAACCACTCCGCTCAACCCGCAGACCGGCAAGAACCCACCCACACCACCTGCACCACAGAAACCAAACACTTCCAGCCACCATCTTCACAACTCGTTGAAGCACAGGAAGGTGCTGCATCTGGTGCCACTTGCACTGCTTCCTCGCGTCCCGTGCGCTTCGACCGAGCTTCTCCCGCTTCTTGCCCCCCTTCTTGCCCCGCTGCTCGCCCCCCTTCTTTCCCTCCTACTCGCCCCCCTTCTTGCCCCCCTTCTTGCCCCCCTGCTTGCCCCCCTTCTTGCCCCCCTGCTTGCCCCCCTTCTTGCCCCCCTGCTCGCCCCCCTGCTCGCCCCCCTGCTCGCCCTCCTGCTCGCCGCGCTGCCCCCGCCGGCTAGCCCTGGTCTTTCCCGCTGTCGCAATCAACCCGTGGCTCTCCTTCACCAGCGCCTGGATCTCTGCCACTGTCCCCGTAGAGAGAATCTCCACAACCTGGCCCCATTTCTTCGCAGCAGGCTTTCCACGCATCGCTTCTGCCGCGTCGAGTTGCGCCTGAGTCAAGAACTCTCGTCGTGGGAGTTTATACCCCCAAAGCACCTGAGCAAGCTCGGATGCAATGCCAGCCTGCTGCACGTCGTCGTAATAGCCCACAGTGCGCCAATCTTTGTTTGCATCTTTCATTCTAATTTTATAAGGCTTCTGGCGCGTGCACCCAAAAACATCTTTGACATTCTCCCCCCTCTCTTCCCCTTCCTCTTCCCCCCTCTCTTCCCCTTTCTCTCCACCTTCCTCTTCCCAGTCCCCTCCCCATCCTCCTCCCCCACCCCTTTCCTCTCCCCATGCACCTGCAGCTGATGTGGTGGCAGCCGGAGCTTGCAGGAGGTCCTGGATAAACATGTATAGACGGAAACAGAGTGTTAGGGCAGAGAGAAGAGGGGCAAGAAGGAGGTAGGGAGGCAGGCTGCCCCATGCTCCATGCCCCATGCCCCCTGACCCATGCCCCATAACCCACGCAATGCCAGTCATCCACCCCCTTACCTCCTTCGGAATGCGCTTGTTCTGCAGCGCCCTCCAAGACACATCCAAGTTTGTTGTTGCCTCCCCCACCTTACACACACTCTCTCGCTCGCCCCCCTCCACCACTCCCTCGCTCCCTCCACCCCCACCCACCCCTGCCCCTGCTCCTCGTCCCTCCTCACCGCCCTCTCCCCCCTCCCCCCAAGCCCCTCCCCCCTGCAGCAGCAGCTCCTGCATCAGCCGGCTCTCCGTTGTGGCCTGCTCCTCCTGCAAACCGTGGGTGCCACAGAGAGTGTGGGGGTGGGGTGACTGAGATGTGCGGGGGTGGGGTGACTGAGATGTGCGGGGGTGGGGTGATTGAGATGTGTGCGGGTGGGGTGACTGAGATGTGTGCGGGTGGGGTGATTGAGATGTGTGGGGGTGGGGTGATTGAGATGTGTGCGGGTGGGGTGATTGAGATGTGTGTGGGTGGGGTGATTGGAGAAGTGCAGCAGGCTATAGAACTCCACACCAAGTCCAGCAATAAACCCTGGACCATCCCCCTAGGCCTCCCTGATGTCCTCCAGCCTCCACCTATCCCTCTCACTCACCAGTTGCGCTTCCAAGGCCTTCACCTTGCTCTCAAGTTCATTTACAATCCCCTGCCACGACAAAGCTTGTGCTTCTAAGGCTTTGTTAGCCTGCAAGGATAGGAAGGGATGGAAAAGGCACGAACGAGCATAAGAATGAGGAAAGTTCATATCTTTAAACAATCCAAAGTCAGAACGTTCAGAAAGAACGACAACTAGAAATCAAGTGAAATTGCCATACATGATGGTCTACGCTTAGGAAAGAAATGATGAGACAGACGGAGGACAGCCATGGAGTGTGGAGAGTGCAGCATGTGGTAGTGCAGCATGTGGTAGTGCAGCATGTGGTAGTGCAGCATGTGGTAGTGGCAGAGGCTCGATTTCTTTCGACTCACCTCCTTCTCCGGCATGGCAGTCCCTGGAGGGGCGGAATTCGTCATCCACGCAGTCAGCGATCTCACCTCGGTGCAGCCCTCCAGCCTGGTCCTCCAGCTCGACATTGAGAACGTGTTCACCTCCATTGAGAGGAGCGTGTACTTCAATGCACTCCAAGGGCACCCCGCTAGCACCTCTCCTCCACTTCACACGCTCGTTCTATGCAGCATCATCACCGCTGCTGCTAGATCCAAACCTGAATTCCATGCCACTCACCAGCGGAAGGGGAGTCAGACAAGGGGATCCCCTAGCCCCCTTACTCGCGGCGTCTACATGTTGCAGCGGCGCATCCGGATGTCACGGTGCTCACATACGCAGACTACATAACCTTGATAGGACCCGCAAGGGCAACGCTCGGCGCGCTAAGGGAGGAAAGGGACTCCTGGCTTGCCTGGTGTTGCAGCTTGGTCCCAAATGGCACAAGGGCTCATGGGTGCCTGGACCAGTGGTTGCCAACTTGGGCCCATGTTGGGTCTGGCAGCTGATCCATCTGGTCAGGGACAAGCAGCAGTACTACAGTCAGCTCCCCCGAGGACTGATGATGCCACTGGGCGCTTGAGAGGCGCATCAGTTCGCCTGGGTGAGATGGAACAACAAGGCAATGGTCATGGCAGGCTGCCCTACTGTCGCTGAGGAGCTGGTCCAGAGTGCTGACCTCTGCATTGGCAGTGTGTGCAATGGCTGCAGACGGCTGCTTGAACTTTGCGACTGTGCCGAGGCGCCTGAGCCCACGAGGATCTGTGTCAGGAAGACGCTGGCAGTTTTCGACATCTGCCAAGCAGTTGCGGACATGAATCTGAGCATTGCAGGTGACGGGCGCTCAGTTCCTGCCTCCATCACCTATGATCCTTGATGATGACTCGATGAAAACCAGATGCTGCATCAGGTCCCTCATGTCACGCGGACAGTGTTTCGGCGCCTCAGGTATCACTTGCAGTGGTGACCTTAGCCGAAGACCACTGAAGTGCCTCCTAAGCACCGCTGGCTCTGTGAACAAATCCGGCGGCACACGTGCCTCTGCCATTTCATCGTCAATGATCCGCATCTCTATACCACCGTGCTTGACAATGTACCCGTTCTCATCAGCTCCGTCATAAGAGAAGCAGCATCCGGAGACTGGGACATTGGCCCGTGACAACTGCACAGGCTCCTTGGCCACATGCTGGGCACTGAAGGCTGCAACAATTGGGATCGCATTGGTCTCAAGCCACCTGGTGAACTCTGGTATCTTGAGCAACGAGCCCAGGGTACAGGCGCAATAGAGCATCTTCCTGCCACGCCCAGTCAGCTCTGCTACCATGGGCTCAACTGACTCGGCATCGCAGTTCACTCAGCCTGTACCCAGCTTCATCACCTGGTCTTCGTTAATGTTAGGATCGACAAACAGCCAGCGCTCGTCCCTTGGCTTGATGAGCGACAACGACTGGAACCTGCCTGTGCCCTGACCGTGAGGTCAGGGTCCACAATGACCCTGACCTCACGGACTGCACACGTCGCTGCTTCGTAGACAGCGCCGCGGACTATGAAGGACAGTGATCTCAGGCGCCTCTTGAACGTCAGATCAGTGCCAGAGTCTGATCAATGTCAATGGCATCTTGCACAACGTCCACAGTGTTGGGCAACACCTTGTCTGTCCTCACCCTAACAGCCTCAAGGATCACTGCCCCCCTCAGGACCGCCACACAGTGCATACTCAGTGACACGGCCCACGATTCGCGTGTCCAGTTGCTTGTCACTCTCACCGATCTTGACCACCGATCCAGTCGTCGGTGACCTGGCCATCAAGCCCTCAGCAGTGGCCATTAGGTCGATCTCAGGGCGTTTGATCCTGTACGTCAGTGATGCCAGGGTGTGAATCGCAATGACTCCATCACAGGCCACAGTCTCAGTTGTCATGGCCGCCCTGCGAGACTCCTGGCTCAGGTAATGAAAACGGTGCACGCACGCTGGTGTGCCAATGAGCTCTATCAGGAGCCACGGCTTGATGTAGCTCCTTGTGACCGGCGAGGCATCACCTGCCAATGACAAGTGACCAATGGCAACAATTTGACCATCAGGCATCCATTCGCACCTGACAATGTTCGGCCTCCTTGTGTACGGCACCAGGCTGTCCCTGACGAAGTATCCAATGACTGTGAGATCAGGATCAGTGCAGCACAGGACCCAGGTCGAGCCATTGTCTATCAGCCAAGCTGACTCACCGTCCGCCTTGAGCATGAAGACGTGGCCTTCCCCAGGCGACGCAGCTGAGTAGACAACTGGAAGGTCTGCCATCCTGACAGATCTCAGACACGGGATCCAGTGCAGATGCCATTGTGTTGCAGCACCCAGCCAGGTTGGCAGCGTACCCAAGCACCTGAAGCCAGTCCTCATTGCCTGGTGGCATCGGCCCTGTCCACTCTCCGCCAAGTGGACATTGGTCGGGCTCACAACCGATGCCCTCATCTGCCACAGCGTGCCATGGACTGGCCAGCTGAAATGCGTCACCTGATGCCTGTAAGCCCACCTAGGACTGCGCGGAAGACCATCGACCTTGGCCCACTCAACTGATGCTGCGGCAACCATGTTCCAGGCAATCTCGGCGCTTTGTGCCGTGAACTTGGCCTCAAGCTCACCGTGGTCCCTGGACCTGATCTGATCCGTGCTGATCTGGGACTGCCTGCATGGAGCCCATTGCACCTCATTCCAGCTTCATGCATCACATGCCCCTTGCAACCAGTGGCAATGGCATACGAGTAAGCGCTCCTGGCCGCATCGCCCAACAGGCGTAGCTAGTACTCAGACTTCAAGCGACTCAACAGCACAGTGACACTGCGCTCTGCATCAATGCTGCCCGGTATGATCTGGACCTCACCCACAGCTGCTAGTGCCCTTGTCACACTGTCCAGGAGCTTCAGGCAACTCAGTGCATCGCCCTTGCACTCACACCTTACAAGCTCAGGTGCCTCATCAGGCCCCAGACGCACTGTTTCCCAGATGCCTGCCTTGGACTTTCCGCAAATTGGGCAGGGATCCATGACTCACGCAACCAGCTGCAGTTAGGCGCCAACTGGTTGCGAACTCCACTTGCGCAATGGATTCTGGTCGAACCTCTTACACTCGCGTCTTCAGGGACGGTGGCAGGGTTGACTCAGCGCCGTTGCCAATGGCCAACGGGTACAAGGCAATCAATGTCAGCGCTCTCAAGCTTCTGTCATCAGCATGCCCTGGATCGCTGGGAACCCGTTGCGTGCACCATGAGTCCTGTTCAGGCCACCTCTCATCGACGCCAAGTGGGCACGTGCTTGTACCTGCTCACTGCATGCTGGATGAGCCACATGTCACAGATAGGCGTGGGACGCTGACAGAGTTGGCAATAGCAGGTGTGTGCGGCGTGAATGGCTACGGCCATGGGATCAGGGAGACACTCATGGGCAAGAGACGCCTGCTTCGTTACAAGGTGGCTGGCAGGATGCCGTCCAATTGGTTACAAGGTGGCTGGCAGGATGCCGTCCAATTGGTTCAGCCAGGGGCGTAGCAAGCGTCAGTTGGCACGTGGATCCCAGTGTGATCTATCTGCGCAATGCCTGGATGGCCAAGATCAGGTACCTTGCCCCTAGCCTCGAGGCAGACGACAGTGAGCAGGGACTGGTTGACAACACCTTGGTTGAGACCAGCCTGCAGGAGGAGTCCTGGGCCGGGCCATGGTTTTGAGATGCCCAGCACTGGGTGAGGACTCGGTGCATGCTGTGAGAGTCAGGTCGTGGGACAATTGGTCGATTGGCGTCCATCCTGAGTTGTGCGCACCACTGCATCTGGATTTCGATGGTCACGAGGTCCATGTGTTCTTCGCCAGTAGTCCCAGGTCAGTGGCTGACATGCGGTCAGTGGCTGACATGCGGTCAGTGGCTGACATGCGGTCAGTGGCTGACATGCGGTCAGTGGCTGACATGCGGTCAAGGGCGTCAAGGGCAAGGCACAACAAGTTCACTGAGCCTCTGCGTGCTGGACTGATGGACTGGGCCCAAGGCACCCACTGTGAGGACGCTTCGCTGGGATCGTTCAGCAAGGCCTCAACTGTGTCGCTCGAGGCAGTGATGTTATTGCCCAAGCCCCATGACCTGCACAGGCTGGCAAGGTGCAAGACTGAGCTCTGGAACGTCCTGGCCGACAGGTCATCAAGCAAGTCCCAAGCAGGCAGCTTCGTGGACAGCACCAGCCATGCGCATCATGGCGAGGCTCTCTGCCAAAGCGATGCAAGACTCCCTCGACAGGGCCAAGCACAAGAGCACAGGCACTGCAAGGGTCTCGCCAGCATCCTCGCTGATAAGCGGTGAGCACGATGCCATGTCAATCGTCCTCACAAGGACAATGGCACCGGCAGCTGCTTACCTTGCTGCTGATGAGCAGGATTGCAAGCTGGGCCTCATATCAGCCAGGATTGGCAAGAAGCTAGGTTCACATGGCACCCTCTGGCAACTCTGCGTGAGGTCAGCAGCCATGGTTGCACACGAGGTCAGCAGCCATGGTTGCACACGAGGTCAGCAGCCATGGTTGCACACGAGGAGGGAATCAGATGCGATGACTATGAGATGAGGTCACTTGCATGCCTGATGATGGCAATTGCGAGATCTGGGGCAGACATGCCCCTGGCGTTGCCAGAGAGGTCGCGAATCACGTCCAAGCTGGGCTGCAACTGGCTTGTCTGCTGTGTGAATGAGGACCTGTCGTCGATCAGAAGGCAGAGAGCTACTGGCCGATAAGGGATCCGGCATCTGCCTTCGCGTTTCGCACCTTTGCAGCTTGTGCAGAGGACTTGGGTCCGCCCCAGTTTTGAGCTGACGTCAGTTCAGACCACGTGTCGCAGGCCAAGTGAAAACCGTTCCAGTGCAGCTGTGTCGCTCATCAGAGCGTTTTCTGCCAACAGCAGTGTCCTGTAGCAGTCCGCAATGGAGTCAGGCCTGCCAACGAACTGGAGCCTGCCATTGTACTTGAGTCTCAGTAACGCGTCACTGCAGCGCAGCCTGATCTGCCACCTGAGATGGACGGGATGCAGGCTCTCATGAATGCATCATCCTTGTCGAGCGTGATCATGAGCCTGGATCGCCTGGCAACACTGACTAGCTCTGCAACCCACGTCTTGTCAGGGACCATGTGGACGATGGAGCCAGTGCTGGTGCACATGCTGAACATGAGAACTGAGCCCGACAAGTTGCTGTAGGTCATCGTCCCCAGCCTGTCGACAAGCCATCCAGGGCGAGCAATTGACATGCAGATCGAGGCGTACCTGCCCATCAGCTGCAACTGACCCATGCACTCATTAGTCACACACTTGCCATTCAATGATTCTGAGCCTTCTCACTGCTCCCATTGCCTTGGTGCACAGATCATTGTCAGCCACAATAGTTGAAGTTGCCATCAGCGGCTGCAATAGTCACGGTGTGACGATGCATCCGCTCGCTAGCTTCCATGTGCCCAGTCCCAGTATGCGGCGATGATCAGCTATTGGGGAGGCTTGCACAGATTGGACACCGAGCGCAACTTGGCCAACATTGGACAGATTGGACGTACTTGAGACCCTCGTCCAATGGCGCACAAGTGGTTTTTGAGGCGCCTCAAAGATTGGACACCGAGCGCAGCTTGGCCCTGGACGTACTTGAGACCCTCGTCCAATGGCGCATTAGTGCCCCAGCAGCAGACCCTCAGCACGCTACTGGATGCCTGCGGGCTACGCCACACCAGGGGGTGAAGAACAGGCACGAGTATGGGCGCAGGCCGCTACCACCTTCGGAGGCCTCGGCTTGACAGACTTGATAGTAGAAGGCCCGTATGGATTCCTAGTAAGCTACATCCAAGCGCTATCGCTTCCACACAACAATGACATCACTGCAGGGACGCACCTGATGGAAGCCTCAAACGAAGCACAGCAGGAAAAGCAGGAGATAAGCTCCTTGCCATCTCAGTCAACCCTTCCCTACGTCTCAACCCTGAGCATTTCGCGATGGCAGAGCAGTTCGACCGGAGTGGAGCAGCAGCCGAAGAAGTGTGACTGCATGTGAAGACCGAAAAGCCCTTAGCCTGCCTGCCACCCTTTCCCCCCCTCCTAAGCCTACCTCTTCACAGCGAACTCGCTCCTCAACCACTGCGAGCAGTTCGAGATCCTTCCCCTCCAGATGGGTGCGCATCTGCTCGAGTTCAGCGCGCATCTGCTTGACCTCAGCAGCCCTCTGTTGAATGGCCCTCTCCAGCAGTTCAGCATCTCTGTCTGCCATCTCAGAACACTGCAAGAACACAAGGAAGTGATGTTTGGATACAAAAATTATGGCTCATGTGTGACAATTATGCAATGAGGCATCCGGGATAAAGGGAGAAAAGGGAGAGAGGCAGCGTGCATCTCACGTGCCCAAGTACAAAAAAAACAATAACATACATCGAAAATTGTGCCATATGCGTCCGTGAACCCCTCTTGAGAAAGCACGAGCTGCTTCTTGAGTTCCTCTATTTCGTCGGTGCAGGCGTCTAGCAGCGCAATGCACTCGCGGCTCTTAATGCCTCCGGCCTTCTTAACACAATCTGTCAGGGCAGAGGGGACATAGAGGAAGTAGATTAAAAAATGCTCAATCCCCATGCCGCTCCCCTCCCCAGGCCACCCCACTCATCCCCCGCTACCCCCTTCCACATGCCGCTTCCATTCCCTAGCCATTTCCCTCTCTACGACACGCCCTTCCCCATGCCACCTCCCAACCCTCCCTTCCCCATGCCACCTCCCAACCCTCCCTTCCCCATGCCACCTCCCAACCCTCCCTTCCCCATGCCACCTCCCAACCCTCCCTTCCCCATGCCACCTCCCAACCCTCCCTTCCCCATGCCACCTCCCAACCCTCCCTTCCTCATGCCACTCCCCTCTCTCTGCCATTCCCCTTCCCTACCACTCCCATCCCCATGTCACCCCCCTATCCCTGCCACCCTTTTCCCCTCGCCATGTCACTCCCCTCCCTTGTCACCCTCCTCCCTATGCTACACCCCTCCCCTCCTTTCCCATACCACTCTCCATTCCCTGTCACTCCCCTCCCCATGCCAACACCCCCACCCCCCCCCCCCCCCGCCCTTGAACACACCTAGGGCTGCTACCACCTTCTTATCACAATCATTCAATTTGTCATCATTGAGTATCTCGACCAGCTTCTCGTTGAGGCCTGAGCGTATCGCCGCCCAGTCAAACTCTGGGAACACGGCAGATACAGAGGGAAGGACACATACATGTGATTGAAAATGCCGAAAGGAGGGGAGGGGGG